CCCCCCCCCCCCACACACTTTTTGACATGTTTAGTGAAATTTTGTTTCTTGGTTATCTAAAAACCTAATGCATGGTATGCTGTTCATCAAAAATTGTGATTGAAAGGAAGACATTTAATAAGTACAACGTATGATCTTTCTGTAGTCGCTGGGAGCAAATATTATGTAAAATTGTAAATACTTAAAAATAATTGCGTTTTAACTGAGTTTCCCTTACATAGATAATTATCATCAAAATAAGGCAAATGGTTAATTTAATAAATTATTAGCATTAAAATAAGGGTGAGGACATGTTAGGCTTCGTTGAGTCTGTTCACAGGCTAGAACATGTTGGTTTTTAGCGGATTTATTAAGATCATGCACATTGTAATATAACTTTATAAGTGCCTCCAAAACGCTGGGAATGCAGTTTCAGCGTACCAAAATTTAGAAATAAATTTCGGGTAGCATACCTCCGGACCCTCCTAGTTTGGAGTCCGCCCCCCCCCCCCCACCCACACACTTTTTGGAATAGATTGACGCCCTTGCTCATCAAAAAACGGTAGCAATTTCCGCACGCACGCAATACAAAAGTATACAAAATTTGCAAACTTTGCAAGGCTATATTTTCCGCATTTTACAACATTTCGCAACCAAACTTTGCAATTTTACTCATTTTAGTATGCTCTTTCTAGCTGTGATGATTTATTTGCATCTCCTTGTCTAGTTTTAAAATTAGTCTAAAATGGGAATTGTCTATTACGTTAGACGTTAGTTAAGTTGCCTTGCAGTGTTTCTGCAGGAACTCCAGTTTAGGAAACTGCATAATACTATAGACATATAGTTACAATAGTTGGGGAAGTTTTTAGTATTTTTTTGTGCGAAATAAAGGTTTTTAACTTACGTTATTTACTGGTTGGGTCGGTTTTCTTTGATGTACCGTGGGATGTATACAAGTTGTAAGACAAAACTCGAAAAATCGTGATCGAAAGTCTTCGAAATCGATGAAACCTTTTTCGAAAACCTCCTCAACTAGTAAATAAGTCGGTTATAAACCTCGAACTTGGGATATAAGTCATATATTTGCTCTCGGGGCCTGCGTGCGGCCCCTCGGGTCCAATATACGACTTTAACGAGTGTTTTGTATTAATTGTTTGACCAAAGAATAGAGGATTATGATCTCCATTCTTCGGTTTCACTTTGACGCCCTCAGCAATTTAATCTTGACGTAATTTCAGAGTAACTATTATTGATTATTGACATTCTCGACACTCCCCTGAAGGAGCTTTTCAGTGACAAAAATTATTATTATTTATTATTATTATTAAAGTCTTTATTGTCTAGAGTCACAACAGACGTGCAACTTTACAAATGTCAAATTCCTAATTATTACAGTTAAAATTGATCTATCCTAATTAATTATATGAAAGTTAAAAATAGTTAAAAAGACATCTATTTATGAAGGATCGTTTAAATCGTTCCGTTTTAATTTGAGGTAAAATAAAGTTATGTTCCCTTTGTCTTAAAATCCTTTGTTTACACACAGGAAGCAATTCATGTAGGGCATGTTCTGGATTCGATACGATTTTGCTAAATAATTTTCTGTCTCTCTCCTCGATCACTTCAGATATCTTAATACTCTTTGTCGTATATCCATAACGATAAGCCCGCCGGAAAAACTTGTCTATACGAATCCAAATATTTCTTTTGGAGTGCAGAGCCCCACACTTCAATGCAATAGTAAAAGAGTGACATGATTAGCGAATTGAATAATTTGCTTAGCTGATCTGCAGAGTAACCATAGCATCTACACACTCTCAATATGTACATACGCCCACTAGCCTTCGACAGAAGATCATCGATATGAAGATCCCAGCAACATGGATTTTCCTGAAATGTGACACCTAGTAATTTCAACCAGCTCTTTCGTTCAATGCCTATACAATCGGTGCCGGTAACGGTTTCATAGACCCACCGTGCACAACCATTTCCCACGTTTTAGAAAGATTTAATGTCATTTGATTTGCTTCCGACCAATTCTGAATGCTTTCCACCTCAGCAGAATCCGATCCTGATTTTACTGGAACACTTGTCGTTATATCGTCAGCACATAAACTTACTGTGTTATTACCACATTTAGTCCTAATTATTTTTATTGAAACACATTACTAGCAAACAAGGACAATTAAATTTCACAAAAACCGCGACAGGGACATCAAGATTGTTTGAATTCATTTAATACCTTGATTGCTGACACTAGCCTGCTTTAGATCGATTGTACTCTTTGTTATATATATATTTATGTTTAATGTGTGTGTTATGTTACTTTAGTCATGTACCTTTTAAATTTGCACGCCCTCCTTGGAAATCAGCATTTGCTGAAGGAGTAAGCGTGTCTAAATAAAGTTTTATCTAAATCTTAACAACAACGACAACAATGACGATAACACAACAACAGTGACATCGACAACGCTTACTGATTAACTGAAAGACAAGGACTTAATAACTATCCAGGAATTGCTGGAGAGGTTTATGTCTTAGTTTTAATTTAAAGTTTGAAAGTTCCCAAACCACACACCGCCTCATGGTTTCATATGGTCGTAACGGTCGTAAAGATTGAGTCACGATCTTTCTCATCAGCCGAAATACAACATTTTAGAACTGAAAATACGCGGAGTGATTATAACTAGAGAATACTTATGATTTCCAACGTATGACTATGAGTACATGATATTTTTCATACGCTGGCATAAGCTAGTACGATACGCAATAGTGTGACAGGGCCTTTCGCAATAATTCAAAGCTCACTTCCCTTGTGGTTGTTTGAGCACTCTGACCCCATGACACTCTGCGCATGTCTGGATACGTTGATGGCCCGTGCTGTACCACATGCGCTTGTGAGAGCAAATACGAAAGTCATCGCGTGTTTAGAAGTGTACCAATTAGCTGCACGGATGAGGCGTATATGACGCCGAAACATGCAATGTCTGCAGATTGTAATGTATATATAGAACAAATTAAACAGTCCACCACGACTCAAAGTAACATTTTTAATAAAAATGTAAACTAAATGTTCGGCTGCATGCCACAACCTTCGTCAGAAATCTGGCATGCAGCCGAAAATTTAGCTAGCCAAAACGAGCCAAAAGTTATCATTTGAATATCACACACGCCGAAATATCTCAATAACAAAGCATGGAACAAAAAGATAATTTTAGAATTGCATATGCACTTTAGTCTTGACGTAATTTAAGAGTAGGCTAATTGTTTTGCATTTTAGCGTAACATCCGCTTCAGGAGAAGACGAAAATAACTATATAGAGAATATGAATATTTAGTTTAGATCTCAAATTAGTATTTGTATATTTGAACAGACAGTCATATATTCTTTCATATTTTCATTCAATTCAGACATAAATTTTAGATCTCAAAAGAATATTTTATGATCAGTTTTTTGTGAGCGTAATGTAAGTCGTAGTAATTTTGTGTAATTGATACCTCTCCCTAGGTTTACTTACTCGCATATACAGTATTTCATCTTTGTGGCAGTGTGAATATGAATTTTTTTAATATGAATATTCATTGTAGGAATATGAATATTTTTAAACAAAAATTAAATGGGCCTAGTAGATCAAAAGATCTGGAAAGATTTTTTTGTAATCGGCTGCATATTTAAACCATCCTTTGAGAATCCTTGCCTCTTTTATCTGATTCTTATTGGAAATGTACCAAACGAGGCATTGCCTCAATTGAAAGAACGTTTAAAATTATCTCTAAAACCTTGTTACAGATTTTTCATATCTTGCTTTGAAATATTTTGACTGAAGACAGCGAGCTGTCCGCCATCTTGGATTATTGAGGGATATGCATTTTACGTCACAAGTGGGGTCACGCAAGTTTTTTTATCTTGACAGCCAGTGATCACTATGAACCCGAAACTCGTTGTTGGTTGCTTTTTCAAATTTCGAATTGAATAAAAACATTTTTAACAACTTTTTATTGTTACGCAGTAACTTAGAAGTAAATTTATAAGGCTATCCCACTCCTGACGTCATCAAAACGATAGAGAATAAGGTTAAAGAAGAATTAATCCAAGATGGCGGACAGCTGATTACTTTCTTTTTTTTTTTTTTTTTATTTTCCCATGTATAAAAATCTACTTAAAATATATTACAATAATTTGAAGATGTTGGGCTAGAGACCTACTAGAAATCTTCATAGACTTTTTATTTTAGGTCTCTAGTTACTGTTCGTTTTATCACATAATCGATTATTTACAGTCAATCAATACATAACATGTAAAATCAGAAAGTTTTGAAGTATATACACTATATTTACAAGAGAGAAAAAGAAGTGGGAATGTTCGTATTATATAAATTAATAGTAATGTTGTAGATGCATTTAATTTTACAATGTCAATGCTGGGCTACAATAGACTAAAGTATATGTCATTATATACATTAGAGAAGTATGTTTTATATATTGGTAATTGTGTATAGCAAAAAATGTTGTTTAATTTTCTTTTTAAAGGTGTTTCTGTCAAGTGTCAAAATATTTCAAGAGTTAGGCTTGATATGAAAAGTCTGTAACAAGATTTTATAGATAATTTTAAACGTTCAATTCAAATGACACAATAAGATTTTTTGTTGCCATTGTTCTCTAGAGGTTTGTTGTTGAGGAGACTTCTACTAAGGCTAATCCAATCTTCAGTACTTTCGGGGGACCTTGCTTGAGTCCACTGAACTATAAATAAACTTTTACTTATATAGTTCAATGCTTGGGCCTTTCAGTTAGCTTTTTGCGGGCAGTGAAAATTAGGGAGGCGAAGGAAAAACCCTTTCTCTCACTGGTCCTCTATATATGTGTGTTAATATTTGTTCGTAAATTATTTGTGTATAAGATAACTCAATAAATTTGTTTACAAGAAATTGCCGAGTACCACTTCCCGCGGCTTGAGACGTGCGTTGACAGACGTTCTATACAAGACCTATAAACATGACCAATTTTTAGTCCAGAAAATACGCGTCTTTTCCCACCAATGACCGGGAAATCACAAGAACCTCTTCCAAAATGTGAGCTACATCAAAACAGATTTATGGTGTCACACCAAAACTTCATTTATGGATACCAAATTCATTATCTAGTCCAGTTCTTAAGCCCTGATTCCACGAGCGCTTTTTGTCAGCGAAATATTTCGCCTGTTCAGTTTTGAATTGCGACCACTCGAATAAATTATTTCTACTTGATTGCTCACAATTCAAAAGAAACAGGCGAAATATATCGCATTTCGCTGACAAAAAGCGCTCGTGGAATCAGGCCTTTAGATCAGTGAGGGGATCTTAACAGGGGATCATCCCAACAGAGCCAAGCTTCCCTTGGCAATTAAACTCATTAGAGCACCAATTAGAACGTCATTTACGTCCACAATACAGTATTCGGTTTGCCGAAATATGTGAAAAACGTCACAAAGCACTTTGGAAGACTACAATAAAGTTGTTTGTCTTTGTTTACGAAAAGTTCCCTTCTCAGGCTTGAACGAGCGTATAAAAGAATGAATTTCGATGAGTGCAAAACAGTCAAGTCAGTCGTAAAAAGACAAGCAGACACAAGCTTCTTTAAAGTACCTAGAACAAGCAAGAAGTAATTCCACAGGTATGTAGCAAAAGTCTAAGACATTTGTACATATATGTTAGAGGCCAAGGAGTTTTTTTAATTAACTGACAGAGTGCCGCATGCCCAAGGCTTTCACAGTTGAATAAGACCCGATACCTGCGGCCTATATTTAATTTGTTATATGCTCGGTAGGCCGTATTTTTCGGAGGTTTTCTTTATACCTACGATTAGATCGATTTGTTAAATGAAATTGCCTTATACAGTTTGTGGAATCGTATTCAGTCAGGTCAAAATGCGTTGTTTAAAACTTTTGACGAAATATGCTCACGATTTTCGCACGTGTAATTGTACAATATAATTCTTGGCAATGATTTAAATCGTATACATAGTATACATAATACATACGAAAATTTTATTTCGCCGTGCGGCGTATTTTGCGGGCTAAAATAGTCCACAGTTCGCTTGTCTTAACAAATGAAACTAGCCTTTTTTATACCAAACTATCACTTCATAAATTGTGTAAACTATTTCCTTCTTTTGTCTTTTGAGAACGGTTTAGTTTATTTTTCTCCGTTAAGCCTGCCGCACACGAGAGCTATCTGCTGAGCAAAAAGTTACTCGTGCCTGTTAGCTCAGCTGATAGCTCACCGATCAAACATGTTTGATACGTGAGAAAAGGTTGCATGAGGCAAAAAACTCAGTAAAATGTACGCGCACACGGTGAGCTATCGGCTGAGCTAACAGGCACGAGTAACTTTTTGCTCAGCACATAGCTCTCGTGTGCGGCAGGCTTTAGGCCCGTTTCATACGCCGTACTTCACATGTGCCGAATACATTAAAGACAATAGGTAATGAGCTGAAATGCCTCATTATCTATTGTTTTTAATGTATTCGGTACATGTGAAGCACGACGTATGAAACGGGCCTTAATTAATACAACGAAATAACCATGTATATGTAGATCGTGAAGACGACATTGCAATTATTCTATTATTTACCGTTTATTTGTTATCGTTTATACTGTAAACGCCCTCTAAAGTTATTATAATAGTAATACAGTTGATGTTCTTCGGCATAAATATGTTTTGGCCCTTGTCAAAACTCATGACAGAGTCTGGCCAAAACATATTTATGTCCGCGAACATCTGAAACAACGCGTGCTCGCTTTCTTTCTGTGTAGCTGAAATTCACGATGGTTTCCAAAGTGTTGGTGATGATTTTATTCATGGTAGCAATTGACGAAGCCATTGGTGCCTGGCCCTGTTCTACCAACTGCTGGCACAAAGATTGGAAAAAACGGGACTCGGAATCACGGCGATCAGGAATGTACCATAAGAGGTGCTCGTACATTCATTACTGGCGATACAAAAGCATTCGTTGGAAAGATGGACGTTGTTATTGCTATGGACCACCAAGGTGTGTTAGAGCGCCAGTCGTCACATGCGCAAGCAACTGCTGGCACAACGATTGGAATAAGCGAGATCAACGAGCAAGAGCTGCCGGACAGTACAACAAACGATGTTCTTACGGATATCACTGGGGTGGACGGTGTTATTGCTTTGGATCGCCAATTTGTTAAACTGAGCCAAGAACTATCAATTAGAACTTGATTGATTTGAGAACTAAATTATATGTCGTGTAACTATAACTGCACGAGGCCTTATTTCTAGGGTGATCGCTCGTTCAACTGATTTAAATGACAAATCACAATGAAATAAATACTTCTAAAAAAATCTACATATGTTGTTTTGTATTTAATGAACGCAATGGCATCGCCGTAGTGTCTCAAGACAACTGCATATTACAGGAATCGAACCTAAACGCAGAGGCGAAAGAACACGTACTTATTACTGTCCCCCCCACACACACACACACACACCACACTATCTATACTCGGATAAAGTTTGTTCAAGTAAACTGCGAAATCAAAGACTATACCGACTGTATAGTTTTGGCTTTGGAGGAAATTAATTTCCTGCGGAAAAATTCCTGCAAATATGGAAATCTGCGCAAAATATTTCAAACTGTAAAAAACTGCAAATAATTTCTGAAGAATCTGCACCAAATGCCTTTGTGAACCAAGAACCGATAGATTTCTGACCTTCCTATTTGACAAAAACACATTCTGACTGCAGGATCGCTTGGTCTGCCATACATTTTCTGTGAAAATATCTGACATTTCTGCATATTTTTTCCAAGGAAAAAATAATATTTCCTGCGCAAAATAAAACTTTACTTAAAGGTCCAGACTAGTTTTTGAAAGTTAATAAAACAGCCAATGAGAGAAAAATTTAAAAGATATTTAGACCAAATAACTCAAAATGTAATAACGTTTCTAAATATTTGGAAAATTTAAGAGTGAATGTCAGTAAAAATCGAACATATGAGACATTTCGCGGCCACGACTGAAAAATCGATTTTGCTCAAATTTTGCCCAGATATACCTTATTATATCGGAAAATGCACCATATATTATTTTGGGTCAAATGCTTTTTTAAGTTTGAGAAAATGCCGTTTTAACACGACCACCCTAAATCGCCATTTTTTCTGGGAAAATATGAGCTGATTTTACAGATAAATTTCACGACGACAACCGTTTGTAATCGATCTAAAACCCTAAAAATCTTGTTTTCGGTTATTCAAAGGACGGTATATATGACTCACAGGAAATCTGAATTACTTTTAGGGATAGATATAATCGTAGTTTTGGAGCACACTATCTTACTTCATTTACGATACCCTCTTAACAAAATCGATTTTCACCATGCGATAAAGCTCCAAATCGATCATGCTTCTAGTGGTTGGCTCTTTAATAAGCAAGCTTTCAATTGACGTAAATACTTATTTTGGCAAATGAATACGCGATAAACGACAGCGCGTTGAAATCGTCTGTTTTTGACGTCTTGCAAGTCAAACGCTGTTAATTTACATACCGTCGAAGTAAACAATTTAATCAAGTATTTTAAGTATTTTACCTTTTGAGAAGAAGATATAGTCTTGAATGGAGACTTTTTACCTTGCTTAGTTTAAAATTGGTCCAAAAATCCCGAGATATTTGTAAAATATCATCATATACAGGTATTTTGAAATATAATATTGTTGTCAGTTGCGTGACAACTTCAGATGATTGTTCAATATTGTCTACTTTTAATAGCGCAAACATACAAATCGATGAGCTGTTTAGTGATTTTATATTTGTTACTAAATTTCCCAAAATTAGAACTTCAATTGACAATTGTTGTTTTGTTCCAGTTTGCATTGATCCATATAATGTACCATTTAGTATTTACATATCGACTATCGAGTATAAATGTTTACGAATACATAAGTTAATTATTAAGCAGCTGTTAATAGCGTGCGTGTGAAATGAACATTTATCCATACAAAGATTTGTTATTTTATTATATATTGTACCACCTCAAACTCAAATTATAGGCATATAGCAAATACTTTAGTTTAGAATAATGTGTGTTTACTTTGATGCACAGTTAAAATAATCAGTAAAATTACTTTATTTTGATACACTAATGTCTATTGATCTTATTATATTTCACAAGTACTAGTACCCAAAAAAACAGCATTGAGTATTTTGGCCCAGTGCGACATCACAAATTATTATTGTCTCCACATACGTCGCGTTTAAAGAAAATGAAAGATTGTTGCTCGTTTAACGCCGGATTAACCACGTGCCAAATACGGCAAATGCCGTGGGCCTCGCGCTTTACTGTGCTACGCCCATTTTTAAGAGAACACGGCCATTTTCTATTGGGATACACCCATTTCAGGTGCCTCGCGAATTTAGGGACCTCGCGCATTTAGGGCCCCTAGGCTTGGCAGTTCGCCCTAGCACGGCCCCGGGAAAATATGCAATACTCGTGTTCATATAATCCTTAGTTGCGTTGAGCTGTTATATTATGATCCTGTTTATACCCACCAATTGCGCCAGGCAGGCCATTATCTCGTTTATAATTGACGCAAATAAATTGAAATATTGAAAAAAATTATT